ACAAATAGTAACATGCAATAAGACAAGTTTGAAGTTAAAAGATCGAAGCCCTGGCAAAGAACTGCAAAATGCATCAAAACACACTCCATTAAATCATTTACTGTTTGGACAGCCTTAGGAGATTATATATATCCTGGTTTGTGACCTACCAAGCATATTTGGCGGGAATAAAACATCCACCCCAACAAGCATTTTATATCCATAAAGATTCAAGAAAAAATAATTTATAACTGAGACATACAGAAAACGAAGATGGAGCATCAATTGTTTGAAAAGCCAACCCTGTCACATCAAGCTGTCCATGAAGATTTGGAAATGTTTCTCCTCCTGACATGCACAAGTGAACCTGAAAAAAGTGGGGAAGTATATAATATATCTCAAGATCAATAAAACATGGATCTTTTTCCTCCTACCTAAATGTCAAATGAGAAATTACAGTTTCAAGAAGAAAATGTGGCATCTCGTGGTTTCAGATGTGCAAAATCTTATATCAAATTAGGAAAAAAATGAATAATCAAGAAGCAGCAATTGCCTTACAGAATGAATTCAAGTAATTACTTCAGCAACAGAATCAACATAACCCATTTAGAGGCATAAACTGGAGATGCGCCCCCATCAAATTTAGAAGAGAAAAACAAAAAATTATACATTGAAGTTCGAGAAGCACCTCACCAGTGGCTCTTCCTTTGGACCAATTTATTGGAATTTCTAAGATCCGTTCAAAAAGCTGCAGAAGAAGAGACAACCAGCACACAAGGCACATGAACAAACTTTATGACCTCAGATTGGAAACAAAAAGGTGTTGGCAATCTCAATTAGGCATCATATTTACTTTGTAGTGTCTCCCTTACCGGAACAAAAAGGTTGGCAATTTTTAAGTTAGCATGCCATTTCTGTTCAACAATGTCAACAAAAACATCTGCAGACAACCAGCCACCATCTTCAGATAAGTTATCGGACCTCCACATCTGACAGTTTCCACTAAGTTGTACATGAACCCGACCATAGTGATTTTGAAACTTCACGTGTCCATCAACATTCTCCATCACACTATAAACATTGTATTCAAATCATAAATGCTCAACTTAATGCAAAATTTTCTTGTTATAAACTTTGCATAAGTGGATGCATTGTCATTATACACAGAGAAGTTTACCATATTTTAATTAGGAAGCCTCTTAAAAGATGAGTATCCTAATGATTATAATAAACCTCTATCCTATATGCCAAAATTCCAACAGCAATAAAATTTTCACGCAAAGCCAGCATCTGTTGCATAAGTAAATAACTTTTTGTGATAAGAGCCAGCAAAACAATTATGTTATTCTCAAGAGTAAATTAAGAAAATATATAATTGAGTGGCCTTACCGAGGTTCCCTGTCACCATATGCAAGTAGCATCAGCGTTCCTCCTTTGAAATGTACTGAATCTAGCGTAACTGGAAGCATCTTCTCAATGCCTTCAGATTGCACAACACTGACCCCATCTACGAGTTCTGCAACAATATTGTCAACTCTGGTTCCCATGCTAGACGTCAGCTTTTGAATGGAACCAGAGAGAAGATGTGATAATGGCTCTCCAGAATTTCTAGAAAAAGAGGGAAAGCCTAATTTCAGGCTTAGGGGCCAGATAGGAACTTGATCATACGTTGCAACCGAAGGTAGTATGGAAGTTGAATTTTGCAACGTTTGACCTGCTTGCCTCTCAGATATCTCATCATCAGTATGCTTATTAACAACATCAACTCTAGAATCCTCATCTTTTACATTAAAACTATTAGTATTAGTTCCTACAGCATTTGCAGAGGGAGCGGAATTTATACTGGATGTCCCCCCTCCATTAGACCTATTTAAATGTATATAATTCAAACTACTTAAATGACTGTTGACATTCTCATTTTCTTTAAGAGGATGGCCTGCTGAATCTCCACAATGTTTTCCATCCTGGTTGTCATCTCTTGTAGTATCTTCACCAGTACTTGTGATAGAAGTGCCGGCATTAGTTTCAACCACATTGTTCATCAAATAGGAGTCAAGGTTGATCACATCATAACCGCCAGATGACTGTGAAGGCTCGTCAGACTTCCCCTGAGATAGATCCTGAAAATATGCAAGTGCCCTTACTGCACTGGACTGGAGAATTCTTCTTTTGGCAGTAATTCCAGATGCAGAGATATCACTCCCATAACCCTTCCTTTTAAATTTGTGCTTTTTAGGCCCCTTTATCACTCTGGACCAAAATTTAAGCCCTGACCCAGGAATTTTTACACCCAATGATTTCTCCAAATCTGCATGCTTTATTTCATAATCAACACCTGTGTCCATGCAATGATCCCTCCAGTGCATCTTTTCATCCATGCATGGAAAAGACTCAGAACTTGCTAAATCTGCAGAATGGCTATCACCTTCCTTTGAGTCATCTCCTTTTGATGGGCAGGAAGCCTTGTCAGAAACAATGTAGCCCATCTCTGCAGCTTTCTTTGCTGCTTCATCCCTTTCTCTTTCCCAGCGAGCAGCCGCTTCCTCTCTAGAAAGCCTCCGGGTTTTCGTTCGATGATCAATTCCTTCTTCAGTAGATAAGTGTCTCTGTAGACCACCTTCAGATGAGGGTATCCCTAACCAAGTATAATCCTTCTTCTGCGCAACCAAGACAGTTGGATGTAACAAAACTGCATCAATCACAATCCTTCCCCTCCTTAGACTTGCAAAAGGACGAAGGCGAAGTTTCATAGATGGGACCTCACCACAAGAAAATTCCTCACTATGAGGCCCAACCGAACAGGACTCCAGCGTGATGCTCAAAGGTGATAGCCTTCGAACCTTACCAAAACAACTTCACGCTGAATATATTCACTGAGTACTGAACAAACAGAAGGCAAAAGCTTGTCTTCAATAAAACCCTTGGCTTTGGATTGGCCATACCATACCAATAAACATACACCAGATATCACGGCCAAAAATACAGAGCACCTAACTAAAAGTAACCCCTCTTCCCACAGAGGAGACAAAGACCTCACCAGAGCCTTGCTTCGAGAAAAAGGCTCCTTAACACATTGTACCTTCATCCCATTTTTCAGCTCGAAGGTTCTCCTTAACAATTCCACATTTTTCCCCCATAACTGTGAAACTCTAATTGCTTGGGTAATCCAATAATTCTGCTTTTCACATACACACCTGCGAGGAGCCCTTTTTGCCACATGCCCTCTTTCCCAACAAATGAAATTTCCATTGTTTCTACCATTTAGAGAACTGTGAAGTGAAACCCCAAGAAATGGGCAATGGAGTTTTCCACTCATTATCTTCCCTTAGGCATCAAGATCCAATTGCAAGTCATAGGCCAGGGACCAAGAGCTGCTCTTAGTCCCCTAACAAATCAGAAAATCACGAAACGGCAAGACATTTGAACCCTATGGAATAGATTTTGATTTTCAATTAATACTTCACACCAAGTACAGAACCAGCATCAAATGGATAGAAAGTAAAAGAGATAATAATCGTTATTCTAGTTACAAATCATGAAAACATTGTTCAACAGTAAACACTAAGCCTTGAACAACCCAAGAACTACACAGAAATTGGGAGTTGCCATTCAATTAAATCACTAATAAGAAAAAACAGCCCTAAAACCGCTCGTCACTCTCACTCCGGAGCAGAGTACCAAACACATAGACTCTCTCTACTCGTTTTGCACCCAAAACACACAATCAGACACGAAATTTCCAACTTTTCTGTTCTACTTTCATTTACCGAAACGAAACGCGAGCGTTTGAAGAACTTAACGAAGAAATGAAAACTTGTGAGCAGAAAATGGAACCTGGAGTGTTGAAATGAAACATTTTCGCTGAGACTGGTTGTAGGCTTATTGCAGGTGTTGCTTGCGGGTTTGTTTCAGTTGTTTGCTTCAGAGAGAGGAGGAGAGAACCAAAGAGAGACAAAGAAGAAGAAGGCTTTGGGCCTTTTCGTTGCGGCTTTGCTTGAATTGCCCGTTTGTTTATAGGCTTATTCTCCCTCTTTACAAAAAAAAAAATTCTATTTTTCTCCTTCTTCATGGTGACAACAACTGGAAATTAAGGGGGAGCATCAATATTTGTGGGTTTGTGACGGAAATGCCACGGTGGAACGCAAGAAATGTCCAAAATGACCTTACATGTCGATAGCGTACAAGGTTGAACTAGAATAATATGGATCAATCATTACTTTCTGCCCATGACTCTTATTTAGAAAGGGGATTGTGGCAACCTTTTCTTTAATCTTCTTTTTTGAAAGTTCTGTTCTTGTGTCACTTTTCTTACACTTTAAAATCACTCATTTTCCTTGTTGCTAGGATCAGCCACGAGTGAAAAGTATGAGGCGTTTTAAGTTATAAATCATTGTATTCGATTTCCCAACCTAGCTCCCTTGTCAATTCCCTTTTATCTCCTAGCAAGTACCACTAGAACAAACGTCGAATTTGGGGGAATCTGATTTAATTTGACATCGAATCAAACCCCGGCAAGGTATTAGAGCCCCAAATCAGAACCAGCAAGGATAAAAATTTCTAAAGGTTGTTGATCACAATAAAGTTGAAAGATGTAACAGATGCACCCACAACTGGCATACCTAATATTTTAAACCAAGGCTCAGATTATTGGGTTTCAGTTCAAGAGGAAAACTCACTCCATTAGAATGCAATAATTTCTCATTGTGTCCATTCATACACAATAAGTTCGTAACAGAGAAATGGAGGAAGAACTAAAATACAGAGAGCTATCAAGTTAACGACTTTTCAGGGAATAATATCCAATGAGCAAAACTGGCTGATTCATACGTCCCATGACAACTGAGCAAAAAAATGATCGAGAACAGTGAAACGGAAACTTCCTATTAGTCCACCACAATGAAATTAAAGGTCATCTTTCACAAAACCAGCGCCATACCCACTCTTTATTTCGCACAACTTTGGTCATATGAACAAAGAGAAATTACATGTTCATATATAAGATGTTGAACGAAACTGGGCTTTTACCGAACGGGCTGCTGGTTGTAATGGTTCTTCTCTTTCTTCTTAGCTGCAGCAAGCCGTGCTCTCCTAGCAGCAGCCTCTTGAGCAGCTGCTTTCGCAGAAGCATCCATCTCTTTACTAGATTTCTTCTTCTTCGCAGTTACAACCTTCTTTAATCTCTCCTTCACATCAACATTTGATGTATCCTCCTCTGTTTGTTCAGCTGCAGTAACTTCACCCGGTCCATTAGTTGCCCCTGAGTTGTTTGGTTGGTCCTGAGATTCTTTCACCTCCTTGGAAGCTTTATCTTTCTTTTTCTTCTTCTTGGCGCTCTTGGACTCTGCGGGCTGATTTTCCTTCTTTTCTCCATCTCCATTCAGCGCACTATCCTTCTCTTGTGCAGCACCTGCAAATGTAACATAACAAAGGTTGAATATTGAACATGAGGTGACACCAAAGAAACCTTGCCTGTAGAGGTTCTGATGCCAAGAATAGATAAATAAATAAGAAACGAGACTCCACCATCTGCCATAAGACTAGAAATAAATAAATAACATAACTTCACCTTCAAACATATGTTTGCCAATTGATTCTAAGCTTACTTTAGAATCAATGTGTGTGGTGAATGATAAACAACAAATGTGTTTCAAATGGCGTATTACATACCATACATGAATGTGTAATGTTTACAAAGAAAGTTTAACCATCTTCGTGTCTTTGTATGCCTAAACTCAAATTTCAATTCATAAATAACAAAATGAAATCATTGTAACATTCAGCTTTTACTCTTTCTTAACTTTAGAAAAAAGCACTATAAGAGCAAAACTGAACCAAGCAAAAAATTGCTGATTACTATAGTAAAACTTATAGGAAATAATTGTTCACAATTACCACGTGATTCATCTTGACTATCACTCTCCTTTTGAGTAACTCCAAAATCAGCCAGAAGGGCCTCAAGTTCTGCAAGTTCCTTTTTCTTTTTTTCCTTTTTTGAAAGTTGCCTTTCTGCCTCCTTAGGTGGCGCAGGAACATCAGCAGGTTTCTTCAGCACTGGCTCAGGGTTTACTGGCACCTCTGGTTCATTATCATGCTCTTCCTCTACATCATCATCACCTTCATCAAGAATATCTTCTTCACTCTCACTATCCTGTAACCAGAAATTGACAAGCAGTTATAAGAACTTCATTCAGGTTTCATCAGTTGCCTGCAATGTTGTGACAAATGTATAACCATACAAAGTGACATGCAAAGTCCAATAGAAAAGGCCATCTCAATGAAACAAAGAATGTCGTGTAAACAACTTATGAAAATAAAGGAATGGGTATTTATGAAACATACTCGGCTACATTTCAGCCTTCGATTCCAACTATTTTGCCCATCTCCTCACTTTGAAGGTTAACTAGCAGCCAACATAGCTACATTGTAGAAGTACAAATGCAGTCCACCTTGAAAACTCATGTTACAACCATTTACAGACACTCGCATACACAGAGTATCTCCTCATTCCACACGAAACCTAATCACTTTTCACCCATCGAACTCCATCTTTAACATTTGGATAACAATATGAATTACAATCGCTTTGCTTCTGCATTCCTTATAGCAGATAGTTTGATCTCCACCGGAAATCAGCACTTTGATCACAATAACAAATCTTAAGATATGCCTCCACGAACTTCCTCCTTAAACAACCAACAAGCCAAACTAAGAACATTCCCCCAGCAACTCATTAGCTTGGTTTTTCTTTTTCTGGAAAAACCACCAACCAACGTTTTCCTCTATTAAGCCAAAGTCTTGCAAAGTTGGCATTTCCATAGTTCTTAGAGTAACATCAATACCCAACTACACTATCTCTATTCATCAATTCATTTCCGTCTATCAGAAAATATCTTTAGTGAACAAAAATCAAACAAACTAATGAATAAAACACAAAATTCTGATACCAAACATCAACAGGAAAAAAAAAACAAAAATTAAGCGAAGGTCTGACCTCTACATTTGGCCTGCCCTTATTCTGCTGGGGCTCCGAAGGTCCCCAAACGGATTGAGGCGGAGCCGTTGTGGCGTAATAGTCATCATCATCTTCGTCATCCACATCGGCCCACGATTTCGCGTTCAAGGGAGCCGGAGCCCAAAAAACCTGGGCCTCGGGCGCCTTGGGCTGGGCCGACTTGGAGGACCCTTTGCTTTTGCGATCCTTATCGGACTTCTTCTTCTTCCTCAGAGTCTCGAGCGCCGCGAACACGTTGGTGTTGTTGATGACGAGCGAGCCCTCGTCTCTCCTGCTTCCACCGCCAACCATCTCTGTTTCAACAACTCGAGATCAGCCAAACTATGCGGGAACCGAGAAAATGCGTGTGAAGCCTGGCGGTTTTTCAATTCACAAATTTGCAATACTCTATTATCGCGAAAATTGAATAAGCTAAACTTTGTTTACAATTAGGGTTTCGAGCCTCTGATGAACGGAAACCAAACAATATTATATATCAAAAATTAAAAGATAAATTAAACGGACGAAAATTCTCGGAGTTTTGGTGGTGTCAAAATTTTGATCGCGGGAAATCGAGAGAGAGTCGGAGATCGGAGATTTGGCGGGGATTGTGAGGGCTGGTGATGGAAGTGAAGGGAAAAATTGGGGTTTGGAGCAGACGGTGAAATTAGGGATTGGGATTAATAATATGAAGAGAGAATGAGGGAGAGGGAGCTACGGAGGATGAAGGGGGTTGAGTTGGTTACGTTTGCAAAGTAGGGCTAAATTGAAGAGGACTGGATAACGTAATGGAGTGCCGAAGAGGAGCTTATATAGTGGCCGTGGTTTTGCTTTTTACCAATTGGTCCTCCAACTTATTGTTCTTCAAACTAGTCCCAACATTTACGGGTAATTTCAAGCTGGTCTCAACTTTGTAAAACATTTCAAACTAATACCAATGTACGTCCTCTGTTTTTTTATTTTTCTGCTTTTGTTTTTTGTTTGTTTTTAATATTTCATGTTTTATTTTTTAAAAACATTTACTGGTTTTTTTATTTTTATTCTTGTGTTTTGTTTTCATGTTGTATTATTTTTATTTTCATGTTTTACTTTCCATAAGCCAAGCATGTTCAATCTTGGATTCCTCCTCTTTGCAATTGAAAAGCAACACGTTTTTCTATTAAAACAAACCAAATACCACAATGTTAGAAACTGTATACGTATACAATGGCGGTAATAAGGTATGGACGTCCGGAGAAGAATTGTAAGTATAATTTATGTATATGTAATTTTTCAAGTGAAAATAAATTTTTTTAAAACTTCAGTGCCTAGACTCCATTTACGACTTTTCTTATCAACTACTAGCATCCTCCCTCAGTGGAAAAAAAAAAGTTCTTTTTCCTAAATGTAATTTCATATTTGATTTTTATCCATTTACAGTGGAATATTTATCTTCAAGAAATAGGGCGTACGTAACCATGTAACTAGAATTAAGAAAATATGTTACCAAATAGATTTCATCTAGGTCAGAGTTCGGCAGAATTGGTCTCCGAGGGTTTTTACTTGTGCTCTGCTACGAAAGAAAAAACAAAGAACACAAAGAAGCTACTCTTTTTTTTCTCTTACCTTTTTAACTTTACTCACAAAAAGCAAGCATCTATACTTCTGCTAGGGTCAGTAGAGGGCAGTCTTCCTGGGAACTAAAATCCAAACAGATATATCTCTACCGAAAAAAAATCCAAACAGACATGAACAATAACAGAGCAGATAAATGAATAGTTTTTGCCAGTCACATTGATCTCAACAAATTTTACAATTACATGTATCCCGTACATATATATATTACAATACGGAAAATCAGGTACTTATCTCGTTTATGCCTGCGTGAACATCCGATCAAGCAAAAAGAGAAAACGAAAAGAATGGAAAGGGCCTATCGACAGTAAAAATACTAAAAAGCATTGTCATTTTCTTCCTTCTTTTTAATGTCTTTGCAATGACTATGCCACAAAAAATAGGAAAACCATGAGGAAAAAAATTAGTACAAAGAATATCTTGATCATCAGCCACCTATTAGATGATATGCTATTCAGATACTTGAGCAGTGCCCCTTGTGCGCCCTCCACGTTCGCCAACGTGTCATCCATGTTCTCATCAATCCTGCAGGAAGATATGCCTTCATCAAGATTCCAGTTTAATCAAAGTCAAGTGTTAGAGGAACACTACTTATAGGAAAACCATCTCTGTTTGTCAAAGTTGCACTTTTCAACCATGCAATAAACAATTATATGCCCATAGCTATCAAAGTCATCAGAAACACCCGACAGATGCAGTAGGACCATCAAGATTAGCAATTTCCACAATAAATTTTCTGTCTGACTAGAAACCTTACCAGGACATCAAAAAAAAAAAAAAAAAAAAAAAAAAAAACCAAATGAAAACTACCAAATATACATATAGCAATTGTACTGAATGCATGGAAACCTGAATGATAAGCTATCCATCTTATCAGAAAAAATGTTAAACAAGTGAACTATTAGCTACCTTCAATTTTCCATCTATAATCTGCTTGAGTAAACTGTCAGAACCCCCAAGGTCAGAGACAAACCAATTCACTGGGCAATACTTTTACCCATGATCAACGGTAACTTGTTACTCAGATTTGTTGGACTAAATGATTATGTCTTGGGTCAAATGGGGGTCAAATGGAGCTCAAATATCAGATAAGTATTATTTCTTAGCTTGTGATGTCCTTAAACAATAGAACAATTTAACATAACATTTAGTGGTTTAGAAAGGATGATGATTATAATGACTGTGATATAGCAAAATTAACAATCACCTGACCAGTAACAGTCAAAAATGTAGTGTGTGAAATACCTAATAATAAAAAGTGATCCATCTGTTTAGAACACAACCACTGAATTCCACATCAAAGTAAGATACGGGAATTAGATTAAAACCTGATGGCAATCTCCCCTTGCTGAGACACCAAGGTCGCCAGCTGGTTGAAAATAGTGCTTAGCTCATGAATAGTGGACTCAACATTTTGCAAAGCTTCAGCTCTGCTCTGCATGTAACTATCTTGCAACGGAACCATCTCCTGTTGTTGCTGTTGCTGTTGCTGATGCTGTTGCTGCTGGAGCAATGGCTGACTCTCCCCATCCGTCTGCTTCCTGTAAAATTAGAAACCAATAAATGTTCCACAAGATACAATCTCAAATTTTGATCACGGAATCAAGTCATCTCAACTTAAGAAGTTACAGGCCCCACAACAGAAGCAGATCACAATCAAAAGTTTGAAAAACAAAATCCTAAAGAAATGGTTAAACAGCTATGAAAGAATAAATAAATTAGTTTAGAATTCGATACTGTGAACTGAGATAATCTTTAACATCATAACAAAAAAAAAAGGGAGAGAGACAGAGGGGTCAGTAATTTTCAGGATGTTCAAGAAGAAAGAAGGGTGCATGCAGTTGCGACAATTATTGAGAAATTCAGGGAAAACAAACCACAATATTGATAATGCAACAATCACAAAAATCTCCTATGCACTTGATGTCTGATAAACATGGCTACTCATGCACTTAAAGGGTATCAGTTATCCACAACTGAACAAAAAAATACAAAAAACAAAAAAAATTACTCTCTTACTTGGGGAACAACTGTGATGAAGATGGTGATCCATTAGCCCATGGAGGAGGAGAGGCACTTGAAGAACTAGCAGCTGACCTGGCAGCCAGTGGACGCTGACGAACAAAAGGATTTGCAGCATCCTTAGATGCAGAAGCAGAAAACAATTGTCTTCTATTCTCATGAACCTTCATATTCTTCACGAAATCAAAAGAAAAGATATGTTAGTCTTAGAAAATAACCTAAGGAGCAGCAATAGCAGAGCTCTCTCATACTAAGATCACCAGCCTAACTGGACAGGAATTAATATTCAGCAACATTAGGCCTTACCTCAGTCCGCATGGTGAGGACTTCTTTAAACTCTTTTGTAGTGCTCATAAGCCGATTTTTCAAGTCATCAACAACTGTGGTTGAATGACTAGTCGTGTCACTAGAAATATTCCCACTGTCATTTCTGGAGTTGGATAGAAGCTGAAGGTCTACCACTGCAGAGTTAAGTGCAGTAATATCCTGCTTGATAACTGCCGTCAGCTCCTGAATTTCCCTGGTAGGGTCATCAAACACGGAAGTCCTCTTTGCCACTACATGACAAGACAAATACCTTAAAATAAATAGATAAACATTTCTCAATCATAATTAACTACAGCAATAGCAACACAAAAACCACCAATGTTCAAAAAAATTCTACGCCCTTCCAGGTAGTCACACTTTACAGTGGAAAGAAATTAAACTAATTTAATCATCATCCGGAACATTCCAAGGAGGGGATGAAGCCTGGTGCGTCAGCTCCCAATCTACCAAATAAAGGGTTGAGAACAGAGGCAACGCCCTATGTCAGTGTGATTATATATTATATTAGGGGTATGGTTTTGCAACTTTGAGCCTCGAATTTCCTTTTAGAAGTCAGGTGCAGAGTTCGTGCAGAAATGCAACTGGTTCTTGCTTTCGATCAGAACATGAGAATATGTTAAAGTTATTCATGACAAGAAGCACAAGTTAATGACTGCTCCAGAGACCTTTTTAAGTTAAGCAAACACGAACACCGCATAAATAAATTTGTAAGTCTCCAATTTCAAACAAAAACAACAAAAACAATTACAATTGTACTACCAATCATCAATAACTCACACTTAGTCAGCTTTCCAAGCTTCTGCGATGTCTGGTGTATCCCGTACCCGATTTTGGAAGCCCTCTTATTGAACTCGGACTGAACCGCAACCACGGAACGTTGTTCCTCGAATTTCGATTTCGATCCACTACTTGGCCCATTCTGCCCCGACCCTGGTCCTGATGAGAACGACTTTTTCAGCCTCTCTGCTACACTCTGAAACTCCTGCGTCCGATCCCTAAAAGACGATTGTGCCGCTTTCGCATGCATTTTCCAGACCCTAAATTTTCAAATTGCAATTCTACAATAGCATACCACCTGAAACCGCATAAATTCACTCCAATACTCAAATGCCTGCTCAATTAGACATTTTATATCATACAAGTGTCATAGTTTCTATTTGGCCTAGGTGATGCGAAATTTGATTGAAAAACCATATCAAAACCCTCATTTTGTTCGGCCTTCCCATCTTTCTCGGCATCCTATCAGCAAAAAGGGAAATTAAATAAGGAAATAGCGAAATTACCTCCGCGAGAGCGAGATCTGAAACCCTAGACCCGCGGAATTGAAGTTCTCTTAGCAAAGTGAAGAGAAACTGATTCGGGAAAAGAGCTCGCGGGAAGGTGAACCGCTGCGTCTGGATCGCGATCGCGCGAATGCGAGTTCACGTGTGTAAATGTTTGGGGGTGAAATTGAAGAGATTTTGATGCGAGGTTGGATCTAAATCTAATGCAAATTTTAATCTTGCGGGAAACAGAGAACACTTGTTGCGCGTCGTGGAGTTGTAGCTGAACAAAATTTTGTTATTCTGACCAAAAACTAAAAACTAAAAAAACAAACTAAAATTTACTGCAATATCGTCGGATGGGAATTTTTGCAGAATGGTCCCTTGATTTCTATTTAGTTCTTTTCGTACCATACGGATCCAAGAATCTCTTGGAAAATTACAGATGTACATTGTTTTATTCATTTATTTTTTGGTGAGTGTTAAGTTTTTTTTGTTTGGAAGTAACTGAGTATTTTAATTTCATGTGTATTCAGTTAAGATTTTAAACAATTTTAAAGAATTTTAAAGAAGTTTAAAAGTCTATGAGCATCAATTAAGATTTTATAAAAGTCTTGAAAAATTGATGTACTCAATTTAGACTTTTTTATCTATTCAAATTTAGTTGTGTTCAATCATAAATTTAAAGTGTATTTAAGTTGGGTGTAGTGAGATGTTGTTTTTACAATCATATTACTTTATTGATTTATATTGTACTACTTTTGGCCAAAAGAAGGGAGTATAGCTGAGTAGAAAAAGGTATTGACTTGCATACCATTGTCTTATATTCGAATCCCCATATAAGCGAAACTTATTTCACCATATATGCAATAGAGAAATTTCAAGCAACATAATATGACATGTTTGTAGACATGGGTTTAGGCACCGTTTGGGAATTTATTTATTTTTTTGGGCCAAAAATATGCTTTCTTTTAAGTTAAGCAATTCAAGATATTTGGTAAAAATAAAATATCCCGCTTATTTTTAAAACAATGGCAGCATGTTTTAAAAGCAGGTTATGTGTTGCTTTTCAAAGCTACTTTCAAAATAAGCAGAGATGAGTCTGTAATGAATTTTTTTAATTCCCAAAATACCATCATTAATTTTTAAAAATGACACCACATTCACCTCCACATCCAACTCCACCACTTTTACCACCACCTTCACCGCCACGATCACTACCACCACCGACTCTACCTCCACAACTGTCATCCCCACCACCACCAATACCACAACCACCACCTTCACCTTCATCACCACCACCGCCTCTACCTCCACAATAGCCATCCCCACCACCACCAATACCATAACCACCACCTTGACCTTCATCACCACCACCACCACCACCACTACCACGACATGATTAGCACATAACACTTTCAACATCATGTCTATTTTAGTCATTATTCACAGTCACAACAATGTTATATTAAAATTTATCAAACGGTTTTGACACTGTTTTTTGTATTAACAACACTTTAAAAAATTGTTTACTAAAAACATGGAACTACTTTACTTTACAACAAATTATTTTCAAAGCACATCATACACAACTTTTTTAAAAAGTAACAGTACTCCCAAACTGACCTTTAACCAAGTTCACTATAATGGATGTGCTTCTCACTCTACACACGAGATCGAATCTCTCTCCCTCTAAGTTCAATTTAGAATATGAGACCATTTCTCACAAAATAGAGCATTTAACAAAAGTTAATTAATAAGAAACTTTACATCTCCTATAGCAGTAAAAAAAACCCTTCATTAAAAGAGTATGAATAAAGATACTACCAAAACCTATATTATATTACAAATCACGAAATTTAAAACTTCATTGGTTCCATTTAATCGAGTTATGAAATTTCAATTTGACGTGACTATGAGAATCATCAAAGAACCTCATTTTTTGAGTTGGTATTTGGTAATGTGAAATGTAGTTTTGACATGATTAACTTGACAAAAGTTTGATCGCACAAGAAAAACAATATGTGTTTCAATGTTGATATGATCATCACATTTTTGCTTACAAAAATAATGCAACAATTTCTCGTTTCTTCAAATCTAGACATATTATAAATTTTATAAGAATATAGTTAATGAACAAAATTGATCAACTTAGCACTATTGTTGTTGTCAACATATGATTAAACTTTATTTTTCTACAAGTTATAAGTATCGATTTTTACCTTACGCATAATTCTCAATATTTTCATTTAAAACAATAATAAAATTTCAAAATGCATGCAAACAATTCATACTTTATGCACCTCACACCTCATTAAAATATTTCACATTCAACTTTCGACCTCATTAAATTTGTCCAAATTATTGTACAACCCTATCGACAAAATTTAGGCCATGAATCATTTTTACGTGTTAGACATCGCAATTCTTCCTTCCCAATGAAGGAAACTTTAGGCCGGTGGGTCATATTCACATGATACACATATGCGATCGGTTTCATCGCCCAGCAATTAGAGCGCGACGTAGACAATAACTGCTCGCTGCTTCCCTGTACCTACTTATTTCGTTTGTTTCATTTGACCACGTCACTGCGTGCGGTTATATTGGCTTCCGGGCGCTGCTAGAAACGCCCGCTTCAACACTGTGCTCACGCGCTCCTCAAAGCTCTTTAGATCGACCCAAGCTCATTACCCACCATGTGTCGCTTCCTTGAAGCGAGTTTAAAATGACACATACTCTAGCGAGTAGCTCTGGTATTTCCTTTCTGGCGCCTTATTTCTCAAACGCAATGGCATTCCCGATATTTCACGAACAATGAGGCCGAGTTTTAAGTACCGCAAACCAACTCTTTTCATTAATTACTATTTTTCAAAAAATTATGAATATTTATCCAATCTGAACCGTTCGTTTTTTTATATGAAATCTGACCGTCCATTTTCAGCTTATTTGGCACGAAATTGTTAAGCTCTAGCCGACTATGATACAAGGTGAAGCGGAGGAATTGAGTTCCCCACATCAGACTTACCAATCGGACGTTCCAGATATCGCCACGTGGTATTATCCAAAGGATTCGCTATTTTCCATTTTGTTTTCATTTTTTTCGTTATTTTCGATCAAAACCCTTACTCTCGTGGAACCGAAGAAACCCTAGCTCTCGTCCCGTCTCTTACGGTGAAAAAAAAAGCTGAAATTTCAACAATTATCGAAAATTAAATTCGAAAATTGGGGAATTACATTAGGGTTTTAAATCAGGAGGTCAGGAATCGAACCCTACTTGATGCTTCGCGTTCATGATTTTCTCAATTCGTTTGGAGAACCGATGATTCGTCGTATTACGGTTAAGGTACGCTTGTGATTGAGTTTATTATTTTGAATTTTCATGAAATTTTTTACGTTTTTTCGGAAATGATCTCAATGCGTGGGGGAATAGGGTGTGATCGCTTGGTTTTTGGGTTTTATTTGGGCGACTTTTGTGATTTTTGCCTTGCTTTTGCTGTAACAGATCTGAAAACTGTGTAGGGGCATGTATGATGGAATGTGAAAATTGGGTTTTCTCGGTTTGGGTGCTTGGATTGAGGGATTGTTGATGGAAAATAGAATAGAGAACTCACATGGCACTGAAATTCCCAGGAAATCGAGATCTTTGGATCTTAAGAGTTTGTACAAATCCAGGACTACAAAAGAGGTCCCAACCAAGAGCTTGAAGAGAAAAGGTAGTGCAGAGGATGGTGATGAGAACAGGGACAAGAAGAAGAAGAGTAGAAAAGAGGTGTCTCTCAGTAGTTTGAAGAATGTTAATACTAGTAGCAAGAAGAGTTTAGATGAAGTGTATCATAATGGGTTGAATTCTGGTTTACATGATCCGGAGGCGGTGAAATGTGGGTCGAGCCAGATATTGGATAGTAGTAGTGGGTTTAATGGCGTTTCATCACTTAGTTTGGGTAATAATGTTATTCAAATCCCTAGGCGTAAGCGGGGTTTTGTGGGCCGAAAGAAATTTGAAGGTGGTCAGGTACTGAAGCTGCCAGATCAGTCTGCTGGTAAAGTAGTTCTTGTTGATCAGAATCATCAGATAGCTAAGTTAAATGTTGATGATTTAGGAACTCAAGATGAGTTGTTGAATGTTAAAAGAAAGAAGGGTCTTGATGATTTTAAGGAAAACATAGATAATGAGTTGAATTCAGCACCACATGCTGATAAGGAAGTTGTTCATACAAGTCACTCGGTTGTAAGCAATGGGGATTCATCTTTGAAAAAGTCACGGAGGAATCGTAGGAAGAGGAAGGATTTGGCACGTGATAGTAAAATTGCTACAAAGGAAGCTGAGCCTTTGGTCGATAGTTCCACAAAAACATGCCATGATTCACAAGAAGACAATGAGGAGAATCGGAAGAATCCTAGGAAAAGGAAGGATTTGTCACGTGATAGTAAAATTGCTGCAAAGGAAGCTGAGCCTTTGGTCGATAGTTCCACAAAAACATGCCATGATTCACAAGAAGACAATGAGGAGAATCGGAGGAATCGTAGGAAAAGGAAGGATTTGGTTGCAGCTGAGCCTTTGGTCGATAGTTCTACAAAAACATGCCATGATTCACAAGAAGACAATGAGGAGAATCGGAGGAGTCGCAGGAAGAGGAAGGATTTGGCACGTGGTGGTAAAAGTGCTGCAAAGGAAGCTGATCCATTGGTTGATAGTTCTACAAAAAGTTGCCATGATTTACAAGAGGACGATGAGGAGAATCTTGAAGAGAATGCAGCAAGGATGCTTTCATCAAGGTTTGATCCAAGCTGTACTGGGTTTTCTTCAAACAACAAGGCTTCTGCATTGGAATCTGCGAATGGATTGTCTTTTCTGCTATCTTCTGGTCAGGATTTTGATAGTCGTAGGTCAAAGTCTATTTCTGGGTCAGAATCTCCTTCGGTTGATAATTCTGGTAGAGTGTTGAGGCCGAGGAAACAGCACAAAGAAAAGGGACATTCGCGGAAAAGGCGCCATTTCTATGAAGTTTTTTTGGGGAACTTGGATGCTTACTGGGTATTGAACCGGAGAATCAAAGTCTTCTGGCCCTTGGACCAAAGTTGGTACTACGGCCTTGTGAATGACTATGACAAGGAAAAAAAACTTCATCATGTTAAATACGATGACCGTGATGAAGAATGGATTGACCTTCAAAATGAGAGGTTCAAGCTCTTGCTACTTCCTAGTGAAGTTCCTGGTAAGATAGAACGGAAAAAATCAATGCAGCGGAATAGAAGTTCTGGTGAGAGAAAAGGAAACTTGAAACCCAGAAAAGAAAAGAAAAAGAGAGAGTTGACTTCGGAGGATGATAGCTGCATAGGCAGCTATATGGACACTGAACCCATTATTTCATGGTTGGCGCGATCTAACCGTCGGGTCAAGTCTCCTTCCTGTGCTGTAAAGAAGCAAAAAACATCAGGTCTATCTTTAAAGTCACCGTTGTCTGATGAAGTTGTCATGTTACATGGATCTCTGGGTGATGGTTCATTTAGAAGGGATAAAATTAGAACTTCTCATAATTCTGGCAGATCTGATGTTTTGAGGCAAGAAAAGCCTACCTCACAAGGCAGCACTTGTCCCAGAGATAGCAAAATGCCTATTGTTTATTTTCGGAGGCGGCGCAAAACTGGGTCTGTATTGTCTCACACATCCAAGGGCAATCATGCCTATGTGAGTGAACTTGGTTCTATTACTTCTTTTGTTCCTGTTAAGGAGATTGGGGATTCGGAAGAGCCATATGATTCTGTGAGAAGGTTGGATGCCAATGGGCCATTGTGGTATATTGATGATGCAGGGTTGCTAAAGTTGACTCTTCCTCAGACAGAAGCAGGGAAAGTTACTTTTGAGTTAGGCGTTCCGATGCATTCAATTATTAATGATTCTTTTGGAGTAGAATTTTCGTTGTTTCATGCTGCAATGCTGCATCGGTATGGTACAGTGGTGATCACATGGCCAAAGGTTTATTTGGAGATGCTTTTTGTTGATAATGTAGTTGGGCTGAGGTTTCTCTTGTTTGAAGGTTGCTTGGAGCAGGCTGTGGCCTTTGTTTTTCTTGTCCTGGCATTATTTCATCACCCTATTGAACAGGGGAAGTTTCTGGATTTCCAGTTACCGGTAACTTCAATCAGGTTCAAATTCTCTTGTGTTCAGCTTCTTCGGAAGCAACTTGTGTTTGCAGTCTACAACTTCTCTCAAGTGAAAAAGTCAAAGTGGAAGTACCTAGACTCAAAAGTTAGGAGCCATTGTTTGCTCACCAAGAAACTGCCTCTGTCTGAATGCACCTATGATAGTATTCAAGCACTTCAAAATGGAACAAATCAGTCACCTTTTATGTCTCTTTGTGGGCGTCCCTCCTCTGTCAAGGTATTTGTCTTATGTTCTCTACATATTCCGAGAACAATTTTTGGTTTTAACTGAATTTTTATTTTCTAGTCTTCTACCTTGTGTAGATAATTATATTGTTTATCAATGTATTTGTATTATGAAGGCATTCACTTATATAATTTTTCCACCAACCAGGGTACACGGAGGAGGTCCAGGCAGGGCATTAACTTCATGGGTAGTTCCAGGGAATCTGCTTTTGTAAATATCAGTCATTCTACTTCTCATTCTGATGAGCATCCCAGAAAACTTCCTCCACTCGCCCTATCTTTTACTGCTGCACCTACTTTCTTCCTTAGTTTGCATCTCAAGCTGCTTAT